AGTGTCGAGGCCTGGAAGGAGTATGAAGTGGTTGATGTTTGCGCCGCTAGCCTTCGAACGTCTCCAGGAATTTGTGCGAGGGATGTCTGGTGTAAGTCTATTTATCAGCAGCTCGTCGCATTGCGGATTGAACAAACCAATCAACAGTCATGCCTGCGACGGGATTCACGCGGCGCCGTGGATACACGTCGTCCAAGACTTCCGATCTGACTCTCTGCCCCAGATGAGTCTATGGTGCCCTGGCTGGGACGCGATGTTCCGCGGATCGCGTTGCTACCAAATAAATACCTGCTTCAGCTTTCAGGCTGTTGTTCAGCTCGCACTCGCATAGAGCTAGACACTCTCTCGCGCAGGGAACTTTCTTAACTCCGGCCGCCCTGCGTAGTCTGCTCCCCGCTTCGGGTAGCGCACCATGAATCATGAATCATGAGACACCAAGGACATCCAGCACTTCCACAGTCGGGGGCCAAAAGACCACTCGAAGAGCAATCGAACACGATGCCGATAATAAACATCCGCTTCGGTCTCCGATCTCAGATACCTTAGAGTTACGAAGCTTGACAAACGCTGCTCCCACGCTCCCATCCTTCAACCTCCCGGACTGTCTGGAGTGGTTAACGCCGTCCCTTGAACACGTCGGTTAGGCTGGCCAACTGCTACGCACCTTCGCACTCGGACTCGTTGTCCGCCCCGTGAGAGGCACATATAAGAGCCGCGTGACCTCGGACCTATCCTGGCAGCCCGTCCAACATCAAGAAATGCGAGCTTTCCAACGACTCCGTCAGGCCTTTAGCAGGAACTCGTCATCCACACGATCATCTTCGTCTCAAAGAGCTTCCGTCGCTGCATCCGCCTCTGTAACCGCCGGCCTCGTCGCTGTCCCCGTTGTCATGGCGTCCAACTACTACGCCGCCAGCGTCACCAAGCCGCAGCTCGGCCCAGACGCCGTGCCGGAAGAAGCCCTGTCCAGACCGCACCACGTCAAGAAGCGGAACGGCACCACGGCTTCCTTCAAGAACATCTACCCTTCGGCTGGTACCATGTACAACACATGGACCTTCTACAAGGGCTTATATGCGTATGTTGATCGTCTCCGTTCCCCTGCATGATCTCGTGTGTTAACATGTGCGTCCAGGGCCAAAATGGGTGGTGAGCTCGACCCGCCTGACACCACGCCACCAACAGTGACGGTCCGCAAACCAACATTTCTACCCACGCGCTGGTCATCCCCAAGCCTGCGAGCCACTTGGCTGGGGCACGCGTGCTATTATGTAGAGTACCCGTCCGGGCTGCGGGTGCTCTTTGACCCTGTCTTTGAGGACCGCTGCTCACCCCTTTCCTGGCTCGGTCCGGCGCGATACACCCCACGCCCCTGCGACCTAGCCGACCTGCCCTTCGTCGACGCCGTGGTGATCTCACACAGCCACTACGATCACCTCTCCCACCCCACCGTGAACGAATTAGCAAAACGCTTTCCCGACGCGCACTTCTTCGTGGGGCTGGGGTTGGAGAAGTGGTTCCGCAGCGGCGGCATCAAGCAGGTCACCGAGATGGACTGGTGGGAGACGACAGACGTGACTCTGACACCGAAGGACAGCGCCAACCCCGACAACCGGAAGGACAGCAGCACCCCGAGCTCCGCCAAGTCCACCACCTCAGGCCCAGGTCTAGGCGAACCCATAACAGCGCGCATCGGCTGCCTACCCGCGCAGCACTCCTCCGGCCGCACCCTGACCGACAAGGACTGCACCCTCTGGTGTTCCTGGTCCGTGACCTCCTCCAGCCCCTCCTCGCCCACGCCGCGCTCGGTCTGGTTCGGCGGCGACACGGGCTACCGCGCCGTGCCCAAGGTCGCGCGCACTCGAGCCGAGGACGGTTCCCTCCTCCCCCACGACCCGGAAGCAGACTGGGAGCCGCCCTACGACACCCTCCCCGTGTGCCCGCAGTTCGAGCAGATCGGCAAGCTGCGCGGGCCGTTTGATCTCGGGCTGATCCCCATCGGCGCGTACGACCCCCGGTGGCTCTTTAGTCATATGCACGCCAACCCGTACGACGCGGTCGAGATTTTTCGGGATACGCGGTGCAACAAGGCGATGGGGATACACTGGGGCACGTGGGTGCTGACGAGCGAGGAGGTGCTGGAGCCGCCGCGGCAGCTGAGGATGGCGCTGAGGCGGAGGGGGATGGAGGAGGAGGGGGTGTTTGATGTTTGTGAGATTGGGGAGAGTAGGGAGTTTTATTCGTCGGATCTTGGGAGGCTTGATTTGGTTTAATGGTTAAACGAATACGCATCGGCAGCATGGCGTCTGATTGCAGGGCTCACGTCAGCGGCAGGATTGACAGGGGAGAGCGCGAGCATTTACGAATTCGATATCCTCACTCCTCAAAGTCTAATCGACATCACTTCTCAATCACGAGAGCATATGGGCATGCTCGCCTCACATTAATTCCATACCGGCTGAACCAGCACCGTCACCTAACCCCGCCCTCTCACTCACAACAAGCATATGCTCCTTCGCATACCACGCCGCCCACTGCACCGGACCGGGCCCGCCGTCCTCAAACAAGTCCGCGACCTCCCCGAATCTCTCCATCCAGTGCTCCCACTTGGCCCGCACAAACGCCCTTATCCACCCGCGCGGCAACCGGGCAGCGGCGGCAGCCAACCTCTCGCCGGCGTGCCGTATTAACTCGGCGGCCGCGAGGACGAGACACTCCGCCGTCCGGGTCGGCAGCCGGCCCTGGCCCTCCCACGTCGTTTCTCCGAGAGCGTCGTCGAGGGCCCAGACCTCGAGCTCCCAGCCGTCGGCGAGCCCGGCGGCCGTGAGGCGGCCTAGGAAGGAGTGGCTTGCTATCCAGTCTTGGGGGCTGGCCTCGATGGGGTAGGATGTTGATAATGCTGCTGTTTTGGGGTCAGTACGAGTCGTCACAAGGGGTGGGAAGGGTCAACCTACGGCCAAAACCGAGGCAGGCTGATTCCCAGATTGTGCTGAAGGTCGGCATCTGGCTTCCCGTCCATGTCCGTCCGTCTTTCTGCGACCTTGTCAGAAGCGTCCTGTTTTCTCAAGGGGGGAAAATGAGAGACATACCCCCTTTATCTCGAGCTTCTTGTTCGTCCCACTACCCCCTGCAAGCATCTCCCCAACCAAGACCACCACGCCCTCCATCTCGTCCCCAGTGCAATCCGTCCTCACAACAACCTCAAGCAAACAAGTCCACACCAACCACAGGAACCCCTGCAACTGTGTGTCGCTCTCAAGGATCTCCCACGAGCTGACGGCTAGTAAATACTCCTCGTTCAGCCTGTGCAAGTTCTCCGCTGCCTGTTTGGCATTTTCTTCTCGTGTCACCGAGTCCGAGTCCGAGTCCTCGCACGCGAAGTAGCCCCACAGAATCACCAGCCTGCGGTGGGTGAAGTGCTCGCCCGAGGACCAGGTTGAGTCTATTTCTTCGCGGAGGAAGGCGAGGTGCGGTTCTAGGTCCAGGGGAGGAGGGGACGGCTGTGCAGGGGGAGCGGGTGATGTGGTAGACTGGAAAGGGGAGAAGCTAAGTCGGAGGTCGAGACTGGAGCGGTTGGAGATGGCTACCGAGTTGCGGTCGACGGCAAGATGGGCATCGTCGGGGGTGTCGGGGGGTGTTTCTTCCCTGGGAGAACTGCTCGATATCTGGCTTGTGTAGCCGTCGTCGACGAGCTCGTCGCTTTGGTGGCCGTCGTCCAGGTTGTCTCGGAGTGAGGAAAGGGTTAGTCGGAACTCCGGCGCGTCGGGGTGGTGACTTGCGGAGTTCTTCTACCCTCTGAAGGATTCTGAGTTCAGTCTGTCTTCTTGGAACACTGGGTTGCTGTGTGTGGTGGCGTCTTCTTCCTCGTCGGAGGTGTGGCTCCATTCCGGTAGTGTTTCGGGGTCGCTGTCGAAGTGATACATGCTGTCTTGTACTATGTCTTGGGGGGGTTGACCACGTCTGCGTAGGTCTAACGATATATGTAATGATACGAATGGAATAGTTCACGGCAGAAGATGGCACAGATATTTTGCAACAGGAGATATTGCGGTCTAAGTACGAATACAAGATGCAAAACAAGATGCAAGAGTCGCGGACTTCTCCTCGGATGGCAAAACGTTCCCTATTTACCTTTATCTCCAGCGCAGATCATTTGACACCGTCCTGAACGCATGACCTATTCCATCACGGTGTAATTCAAAGGACCAGAGCAAAATGATCGAATTTTTCAAGGTCAGTTTCACACCCGGTTGAAAAGGAGAGCCAACAACACAGAAGTTGACATACAGAGGTGCCGCTGCGCATCACATCCGCAACGCCGCACGGGATCGACAACCTCCGTTCGGACCGGCCCTGGTGAGGGCCTAATCTGAATCACCGGCCGGGCCGTTACTCTTCGGTTATATGTATAGTTGGACAAGATGTCCTGCATGACAGCGACCATACAGGTCTGTCTGCGGTCGAGCTTACCGAGGAGACAACATCCATTTCGAGCCTGCGACCGGGACGTACATACGGAAGAAGCGTCGGGAGAGTTATTGCTTCGAGAATGGCCACAGAGATGTAGGCCAGATGCTCATCATATAGAACGAGGCCTGCCTCTCTGGCATGGAGGACAGCGGCCAGGCTGGCAGCAGGTGTCTCTCCCGTATGGGGTGGTGTTCATGGCCATTGCCGAATCCCAATACTCTTTGTCCTTCACCCCTGATCTTCTGACCGTACTGCTCGAATTGCCTGTCCAATTTCTGGTACGGGCAACATCATAAGTTCTTCCTTCAGCGCGTGTTCTCCCGAGTCCTTCATGCATCGATCCTCCAACTTCTCGTGAGCACAACATCTGCCGGCTTTTATGCATCGACACAATTATGGACCCTCTTTTCACAATTCCCCTCCTCCCGCACAAAAACATCTCATTCCCTCCAACATCAATCATCACCTCTCAACCTCACAACCTCACAAAAGAAACCTGCAAAAAATGAATCCAACCTCTCGGTCACAAATGCCCGCTACCAGAATTGAACTGGCGACCTCATCATATTCCTTGCAGGAGTGGTTACTAGTGATGCGCTCTACCACTGAGCTAAGCGGGCTGTTATGCTTTCGATGTGGATTTGGGTCTGTATTGCGAGTCAAGGGATGCGGGTAATGAGTGCGAGCGGAGGGAAAAAAGGGATGGATATCCACTATCCATGTTCCATCCACTATTTCCATGTCTTTGGGCGAGAAACGAGAAAAGGTGAGGAGGGCGGTGAGGGAGGGCAATGAAGTTGCAAAGAGGCCCGATGGTTGTCCTATTTGACTGGCAATGCCCTTTGGATAGAGTCGGGAGACATGCCAGTATTGACATCGCAGGGTGCCTGAACGCAAAGTCCGCCGCCAGATTGGGCTAGATGATAACAACATTGAACCAGCGCGATGGTGCATCGTTCCCGAAACCATGCCCTCTTGACGATGTAGGATGGATGTGCCGCCTTCTGGTCGGAGATCGACGACGTGGTCGTCCGGTTGTGGGTCTTGAGATACGATGATGACAAAGTGCGGCAGTCGGAGTGGTGGTGTTTTCTCCTTGTCTGGGGCCGTCGGAAGGTCTTCGTCAACGCCGGATGGATGGTGGTGGAGGGCTGATGAGAGAAGGCTAAGGCGGCTTGTCTGAGACTGTGGTTGAGGGAGGTGATGACCGCCAGCGGAGAGAAGGAAGCTGAGGGTTGATCTGAGGAATCGCGGCTGGTGTGGTGGCGGTGCTGAGGTGGTGCTGAGGTGGTGATGCCATGATGTGCTTTGGCCGACAGCTACCTGGCAACGCTTGAGCTTGGGGCTGATGTTACTGAGGGATAAGCTTGGAGCTGATATCTTGTGCAGAGGATTGACGACCGACGACGATGCGGCTGAGGGATATCGTGGACGAGTAACAGGGTGAGCCAATGGGCAGGCATCTCAGATGGAGACATCTTGTCCGGGTTGCTATTCCAGCTGAGAAGCAAACTGGGAGGTGGCTGCTGAACCAGCGGTCTCTGAATCCGACGTGGATTTCAGATGGTGAAGCGAAGGCCAGCATGATGTTGGAATCAAGCTGTTGTTCCGGTTAGCATCGCGCTGATTTTAGCGGGTAGATGATGGAAGTGAGGTCTTGCAATGAATGGAGCAGAAGCGAAGTTGCGGCCGGAGAGTAGGCTTGATTGGCCTTTCTGATTTGTTCAGAAGTTTGAGCTGCTCTGTGATCCATATGCGGAAGGAAACTGTTAGCAACTATCAGGGTGATGAGAAGGAGGGACTCCCTCAGGCAGGAAGGATGGAAGGGCAGTCTTGTATAGCTGACGTGTTGCATTCGGTTTCCAAGATCGACGAAGATGGGCTCTGCGAGGACGACATTGACATGACAGATGTGATGTTTGGGAAGGAAGACCGAGAGGAGAGCAGCACAAGGCTGGCTTATTTGGTGATGGAAGAACTGCAGAAGACAGGCGGGCTACAACCAGCAAGAAGTGGTCACGCGAGCATCAAATTCACAAGGAACACTCAAGCTGGGACATCAAACTGCGGACAAGGGCGCGTTAAACCACGCGGCGTCGTTGAACCTCACTAAAGCCTAAGCATAAGGGGAAGAAAGTGACCTAAATGACCAGCCCGAAGCCTGCCATTCCACCTTGTCCACCTTGTCCTATGCCGTGCCATGCTGCCAAAAAAAAAAAAAAGAGTTGCGAATTGATACCATGCCGGACGCGAACGCAAACGCAAAGCCATTGCCGGTCCAAGGCCATCAGGATGCCATGCCAGCTCCCAAGATCCCTAGCCCCTCTCTTGTTGTCACTGCTCGGTGCCGCAGTTGTAGTGTTGTCGAGAAAGTTGGAGGATTTCCGAAGGAGGATGGTGGATGGTGGATGGTGGATGGTTGGATGTGGAGGGATTTAGTGCTGCGGTTGTGGTTAGTCACGGTTCTTGCTAGAGATGATGGCATGGGGAAGGGGAGAGTGGAAGGGATGAGGATGAGGATGAGGATGAGGATGAGGATGAGGATGAGGATGAGGATGAGGATGAGGATGAGGATGAGGATGAGGATGAGGATGAGGATGAGGTTGAGGTTGAGGAGACGACGATGATCAAGACGGTGGATAGATAGAGGCGAGAATGAAGGAAGTAGACTAACCTTGCACGCGCCGCAAGCGCAACCCTCGCAGGAGGAGCAGCCGCAGGTGGTGCAGTCGCTGGTAGACATGTTAGCTGAGTCCGGGGTGAAGACGGTTTGCCACGCTCTTTGGTGGCGACGACAAGAGGGCTTCAAGCCTGGAGAGAGGAAGCTTACCAAGGAGCCATTTTGACTGTAGTGTTGGTGAGATTGGAAGTGTGATTGGTCTTGAAAGTGGTTGACTTTGAGTCTTTGAAGTTGAAGTTGAAGTTGAAGCTTTGCAGATGTGACGATTGAAGTTCGAGAAGTGGATGAAAGAGGAAAGGAATCAGATACGGACTGGAGGAAGACGAGGGTGGTTTATATAGATTGGATCCCACTGCTAGCTGCAGTGGTCTCTTTCAAGAAGAGGAAGGCACGAGTCTACCTGCTTGATACCCACCACTCGGGCAAGAACGTCAAATCGAACTTGAAGTTGGCTGCCACCCACCTCGCGCTTTCCTCCTACCAGTAGCACTTGAACCCGGAGTCTACCAGGTTTCATCGGCAGGCGCGTCTAAAAGGGAAGGGGAGGGGTCCAACCTCCACATCCTCCACCACTCCTGCCCCAAGCTCCCGAGGTGCCTGCCCTCCACTCATCTCCCAACGTGGGAGTTCCTTGGTTTGAGCCTTCTGCAGGCCAAGTGCTTGCTCTGAGGGTTACAGCATTTCTTTTACTCTTGTTTTTGGCCCCTCTTCATAAACGAAACATGTGTGGTGGTGTGGGAGTATATGTGATGCGGAGAGAAAACAGCAGGTGGGTGGGAGGGTAAGGTAATGCCACACCCGCACCACCCGCACCTGCCGCACCGGAAGAGGGAAGGATGTCAAGAGTGGAGACCCCGGATCGGACCACTGGGGCACCTATCACGGAAGCGGGCGAATCACCGGGTCTCGGCTTCTTGGCCTGCATGTGTAAGTGCATGTGGTGCGTGGGAGGTAGTGGAGAGTCGGGTTGATCCCTCTTGACCAAGAGACAGACTAGACCACTGGGCACGGGGGTTTCGTTCTTGACGGGGTCTGTGACGTGGCGGTATCTGAGGTGAGTCTAGAAGGAGAGATAAGAGCAGGAACTGTAGGAGGAGGAGGAGGAGGAGAGGAGGGCTAGGAAATGAGTGCACACCACAGAGGTAAGAGAAGAGCTTTCTCGGTTTGCATTTGTCCGGGAGGTGGAAGTGACAGGTGAAGAAGTAGACGTCGTCAAGCGGCAGGCAGCACTCTGCCTTGACCAACGACATGAACACTTCCAGACATCATAACAACCTCGAATCCAGAAAAGAACGATCAAGCTCATGTACGCCAAGTCCAAGGAGCCAACGACCACCCGTCGACACATAGCCTTTACTCGAGCCAAGTCAAAAGTGCAAAGACAAATAAGTAACACAGCATCAAGCCGCGACACACACCAGAAAACAACCCGCGGGTTGCCCTCTTGGAACACTCCCGCAGCATCGCACTGCATGTGGCGAGATTTCAAGCATAAATCCCGCTTTCGATCGGAGGGAGGTGAATGTGTCCGAGGGGTCTCTCCACCGGTGTGGTCGATCGGTTTGGCACTGAAGGACAGCGTGTGTATGTAACGGCAAGCTCCATTTTCCCTGTGCTATATACCTGCTACCAGTTAACGCCGATGGTCCATCATTCCAAGCCCAGTTCCGTTCGTAGCTAGAATATACATGTAAGCGCGCCAGCCCGTGACAAGCCAAGATGGGGCGATATGATGTCCCCATCATACAGCCAGCCCCCTTCTTCCAAAAAGACATAAACCAGAGTTATAACATATACATCCCTTACAGCCTCACCATTAGCCATTATCCCAGAGACAAGACAAAAAACTCCATAACCCACCCCTTTCCACACTCATGGCACCGTCTGCCCCCCACAATCGGGAATCTTGACACCATCCTTCAGATTCCTGTCCACATCCATGATACCCCAGTGGTCCTCCCAGTTCTGGTTCTTGCTGTTGAACTGTATCTTCCACGGCTCGTCAAACGCCTCGAACCAGAAGTACTCCGTGCCGTTCGTCAGCGCCGAGCACACCCAGTCCTCCATGAACTGGTTCAGCTGGTCGATCCCCGCAACGCTGGCGTCCGGGCAGACCGTGACCGTGGCGCTACCGCAGTCCGTGCCGCCCTGCGACGGCCAGCCCGTCTCGGAGATGATGTTTTTGGACAGATCTGTCTTAAAGAACGGCCCGTTGTGGTTCGACCAGAAACTCCACGTCCACGAGGCAGCGTCATTGGCGTTGATGCCGCCGAAGAAAGGGTGAATGTTGGCCATGATGTAGTCGCTCTGCGCCGCCAGCTCAGCGGTCCACTTGTCGCCCAGGTCCGAGGTTGCGACGGGGAGAGACATGCCTTTTGCCTTGACCTTTTCGCGGACTTCCTCCAGCAGCTGGCCCAGCTCCGCGACGGTCATCTGCTCGCGGAAGAGGATCTCGTTGGCCACGATGAGACCCTTGAAAGGCTTCTCGCCGTACGCGTCCAGGATGTCGTACATTTGGTCCAGCTGGCGCTTGTTGGTCGTGGCGTTGTTATCCTGCCACACGCCAAGCCACAGCTTGACGCTGTCGCTCATGCCGAGCTTCTCCAGCGCGTGTATCGTCATCTGCGTCTGGTTGCAGTCCGTGCCGTAGAGGCGGATGGTGTTGCTGAGCTGCGACAGCACGGCCACGTCCTTGGTGATGTTATTTTGCGAGGGAGGGTTGTGTATGCAGTCCGGGTACTGCGTGTTGAGGGGTGTGTAGTCGATGCCCGGGAAGATCTTGTGCAGGTTCTTGTTGTTGAGGAGCGCCTTGATCGACGGTGAGTTGATGTCCAGGTCGCCGTCTTCATCCGGGTCCGATGTGGATCCGGAGGTGTTAGATCCTCCTCCCGACTCCTTATTCTGCTTGAACACAACACCGAACAGGACGCCAACAACAAT